TTATGGCTTGTGATATCCCAGGACTGTCTCTTGTCTGTGTCAGTTGTGTACAAGTCCCAGGTGTTCACCAATGGGCTCTTTGAGTCTGGTAAACAATTATTGTTGCTGGTGAGACTTAGCCTAGGCCCTCATGTAAAGTATTATCAAGTACATATCACTGCAGTGATTCCATGCATTAAATATATCCTGGCTATTCAAGTCTTAAGCATAAAGATGGTGGGTGTGGGGGGAAAGAAAGGGCTGTTAATTGCTTCTGTGGATTGAATTTCTTCTTGCTGTAGTTGGCAATTAGTTAGAGCCACTCGCTAGTTTTATTCTGTTGATTTGTAGTTTTGTCAAGTGTGTTGGGTAAATCTTAAAGCTCACATGGTCATTAAACAAGTTTTACTGTCTGCGTTGCCAAAGTATTCAAGACTTCTGTGGTACATGAGAAGGTTGCTGAGAATGGATGGATTTTGAGCCGGGTTATCACTTCTGTAAAGATCCTTGATGGGCCCTTAAAGGGCTTGGCTAGTGCAGAGAGGCCTCACTTTTCAAAAGATGGCTTTGTAATAGCCAGTGAATGTCATGGTTTAACACTGTAAGCAGACTGGGTACCTTTTTTTTTTTGGTTTTGTCAGCAAAGAGATGTTTTTCATTCGTTTGAGAACCTTGTCACACCTGCAAGTCCTGGCAGGACCTGTTATTACTTACTCAGGCTTAAGACTTTCTCTTTTGATAGGTGTGCAGTGGTACCATGGTGGGGGCTCAGAAATTCTCAGCAAACAGTGTTTTGTGTGGTGGGAGGCTGGAATAGCTGCACTATTCTTTGTGTGCAGAAACATGCACTGAGGATCCTGCCTTGGTTCTGGACTCACTATCCAGACCTTGCAGGAAGTGTGTGTGCGAGAATCTTTATGGCAGAGGATCTGGTGGCTTCAGCCTTGGTCTCATGTCTGCAAGCTGATCTTCCACGCAGTAATTTTAGCTGTCTAAATATCCAAAGTACAATCCAAACTAGTTAGAGTTAGTCTATGGTGTGTTCCCCCAGAAGGCTTTTCATGGGAAGGAGTAATGTTCTTGCTGAATGTGTCTGTCCTTCTCTACTGATTACTTGTAGAGCCTAATTGTTTTGCTAAATCAAGGTGCACAGACATTTGAAAACTTGACACTTTACAGAGATCTAAGCTCTTCCAGAGGTTGTTTCGTGGATCTGAACTCCTCCAGATGATAGGGCTGTTTGTTTTCCCTGGATATCACACCAGATACTTTACCTGCAGTCTGTATAACCCTTGCAAAAGGCTTCCTGGGACGTGGAGTCAGGCAGTTCCAGTGCTTTCTCTTTTTATTGCAGAATCCAAAGATGGCACAGTATTTCAAAATTCATCTCCAAGGTGGCATGTCAGAGGGATCATAAACCCAGGCAAAGGCAGGATTTATTTTGCTATTGCATACTGATGACAGGTCCCTGTAAGAGCTATCTTGTACGTCCTTTGCAATTAGCTCAAGCCCAAACCCTGAGTGAGTGATGGAGGAAAACATTAGTAATTTGGCCCTTTAGGAAAAAAAGCCACAAGGCAGAGAGGACTGTTATTTATTTAAGAAACTGATCTCAGGATTAAAGTTTTTATTTTTACTTTTTAAATTCCTATTTGGACAGTTACATAAGTGCCCAATTTCAAAAGTGTGAGTATGTGTCAACTTCTGTGAAACTGAAATGGGAGTGGCAGCAGAGCCCTAAATTGAGGTTGGATATTTGGATTCTTTGATATGCATCTGGGTGTCTGCATTTGGATTTCTAAGTAAAAACAACCTCTCCCTCTGCTTTGAAGCTTTGCTGAATGTAAAGGTAAATATGAATGTAAAGATGTATTCTTGGGTCAGCATCACTGTGTTTCCTTTGTCCGTTCTTCACATCCAGGCCAACACTTCATCCCTGTGAGAGCAGACAATTGTGGGAATGACTGCAAATCCCACAAGTCTCATAGCAGCAGAGTTCTGGTTCAAGACCTTTAGCTTCTGACATCATGAGTTATGCTTTTGGAGATGTTAGTGCAACACCACTGCAACCCTCAATATCTCTCTGTTGGGATGTGGATATGGCTCTGTATTTATTTTTATTCCATAATCTGATAGCTTTTAGGCTCTTTGCCTTTCCTGCTTGCTGCATTGTTTCCATTCATGGTGGAGGAGACAGGATTGAAGGATCAAATCCAGCTTGCTTTCTTGTCTTTCCTCTCCCTGAAATGCTCTATTACAGGACTCAATTAAGAGCCAGTTTTCCCCTCAGACTCTGTCTACGAGGTCACGCCTGCCCTTATAAAATATTGAATTTGCAGCTGCAGGATTTATTACAACAGTATTTTAAAACACACACAATGCTGGTGCAGCAGCTCTAATTAGAAATGCCCTGAGTTCACTGTGCAGGCGAACTGTTGTTTCTAAACTGCAGCACTGACATCAAGAGGCAAATATGGATTGTGTTTTTACATGTTTGAAGGACAAACAAAGGTACCTGTGGGAAAAACTGGAATCTGCTGAGAAGGTGCTGCTGCAGTGTGATTTCTTCCTTCTTTAATTTGAATTAGCTCAGCTTGGGCCAGATTTTTGCCTCTGTAGCATTACTGAGTTGCAGCAATTCAGTGGAGAGGGAAGAAGATCTGTTCTGAGGTGCTGCAGCTTTGTGTTATGGTGTCACAAATTATGTACTTTGCCATAGTGATCAGTAAGAAGTAATGGAAGGTGGACCAATTTCTACGTTTTCACAGAATATTCTGGGTTGGAAGGGACCCATAAGGATCATCAGGCCCAATTTGTAAGTGACTAGATGATTTCTATTAATCTAGTTGGTTTTGCTTTTAAAAATTCATGAATATCCACTAGATCTAGTCTGACGCTGCCTGCCTTACCTGTGACTTCCCTAAAGTCCTCCATGTAAATCATCAGGGCCCTGGAGAGGGAATTTTATCCTCCTGCCACAAAGGCAGGCCACCCATGTCCGAACCACACTTCTCCAATGACAGAGACTATTCAGCCTGCCCTGGGGAAACCCTTTCCTGGTGCTCTGCTGTGTCATTTTGAAATGCAGGCCTAGTATCTAGCCTAAGCCAGTTTTTTCAGTTTTTCCTTTACTTCTCATCCTGCCTACCATGCATATGCAGCTACTTAACTGCCATTTTCTCCAGCAGCTTGCTTTTGTTCTGTATTCTGTGTTCCCTTATGTGCTCTTCTGTAAGTAAAACAAATCCAGCTGAAGTGGTCCGTGTCTGTTTATGCTGGATATTTGTCACAGAAAGTCTCTCCTGCTTTCCTTGAGAGGAAATCTAACAGGCAAAGGCAGGAAAAAAATTAGGAGAGGAATAAGAAACTGCCCGCTGCGGTACCAGACAGCCCTTGCTGATCATGCCTGAAGAACATATTCTTTCCCTGAGCATGAAACATGGCAACCCACTGTACTAGGGCTCGAGATCGATATTGCTGTCCTGCCAGGATAATTGGGAATTTACCAAACCAGAGCAACAGATGCCTTGAGAGACGCAAGTATGATTAACTTTATAAATACGTATTATGAAATCATGGGCAGTGTTCTAACTGTAATGTATTTTCCCTGAGGGAAAATATGCCCGAGTAAAGAAATCAGAAAGCACTTGATGCCAAATGCAGAATGAAATGAAATTCCTATAAGGCTGGAGTCTATCCACATTTTTTTCAGATGGTCTTTTCCTTTGGAGAATTAGATGAGGAGTTATTTCTCTTCATTTTATTGTCGTCTAATTTCTGAAATCTGCATCTTTTTCCTAAGACACACTGGCATGTATCATGTGCATATATAACATTCCCTAGGAGACTTGTTACTGCTTTATAGTCACTGCAAGTGAATTTCTTTATAAAAAGGCAAGCACCTACTTGAGACAGCATGGATGTATGTATTTGCTTCTGTGCTGAAAGAGTATTTCTGAGCTTTTTTATGGCATAAAGGAGATGATTTTTTTTTCTACAAAGCTGTGAGACCAAGGAACCCTGGAAGTGGATTCAAGCAGTCCTCGTGAAGACTGTTTATAATAAAGTTTCACTTGTCGGACATGGAGGGCCTTTAACATCACATCTGGGTTAGCTGCTTGAGTCTGCAAGTTAGTCTTAAAGCTGTTGGTACTTCCAAGGTACTTCCAATGTGATGTTCAGCTTTCTTTGGGGTTAGGAAGGGCTTAAACCTTTCACATGAAACAAGCCATGTAACTTCACTAGAGACTTCTGCAGTGAACTTTATAACCCCTAATGGAATGAGAGCTTGCTTCTTGTCCAGTCTTGATTTGACTGGGTCCAGCATGTGCTTAAGAGCTTTGCTGAGTCTAGGCTGAGAAATACTTTTCATGTAGGAATACTGCAGAAAGGATAATGATCACAGGAGTCTGGATGGCAGCAAAGGCTTCAGCCGGTTTCCTTTGAACCTCAACTTGTCTCACTTTGACATTAATAAAATGTCACGATGCAGACTTCAGTTGAAATAGCATTTTTTATCAGATTTCTTTACTTGGGTTTTGTCCCCCACCCTTGTTCCTTTTGACCCACGTGTAAATGTCTTTCTGGTCTTGGACACTTCAGAGAAATTGTAACTTAAAAATCCTTTTCCAACTAAGCCTGAATTTTCAGTCAGAACTTTCATCAGGTTTAAGTACTATCTGATTTGTAAGTGTTGGCTGATATTTGGTCTGATTAATTTCATGTACTGGTTTCTGGAAACTGCAGTACTCCATTGCACAGGCAAATATTGGCCTATCATGTGGAAAATGGCAAGTGATCCAGATGCTTTGGAGCTCCCAAGTAGAGATGCATTAAAAAGAGCTGGATTTTCAGAGAGCCTCCACTTTCTGAAATGTCTCTGCAGCTATTAAATTGATAGAAATACAATTTCTCAAATAGTATGTAGAGTTGAGAGTTTCTGACATATTAGGATGTCTCTAAAAGTCGAGATTGATACATATATAACATCTGTAAGACATCTATGTCTTGGCTTTTTTTCCAGGTGCCTTATCATGTACCTGTCACAAAGCCAAAGTAGGAGCAGCTGTTCATTCTAAGGTAAATTTCTGATCCTGCTGAGATCAAGAGGAGTTTGGTTGGTGGGAGCCAGATATTTGGCTGGTTTCTTTCAACTGTTACCTGCAACATGCTTCTCAGGTTGTTTTTTGAGTATATTGCTCAGTTTCCCCGGTAAGAGAGTGTAATTTCTACAGCTGGAGCTGGAAGGAGCCTTTGGTCACCAGTTTTGGTTTTGGTTACTGTTTCTGTCTGTTCTTCGTCACTTCAGACACTAATAGTCAGTGTGGATCCGAAGGGTGTTTACTCTTGCTGTAGTGATATAGTTTAGTGGTTAGTGTGCAGGACAAGAAGAATACTGTCTTCCACACTCAGGATTGTTTTGTGATTAGCGTTTTGTGTGGTAGAGAGGGGATGAGTTGAAAACCTCGCCCTGAAATGTAAGTGTATACATCGTCTGAGTGGCTTTCCAACTCCATTAAACAGAGTTTATCTCCTGTCTGATAATTTAGCAGAAATTATTCAAGAATATTGTTTTATACAGCCCTGCAACTCTCCATTCTTACCACTCTAGGAATTGGACATAGATGTAGGCTTGTTGATTTGTGCAGCTGAATATTTCATTGCCAGAATATTTCATTGCCAGAGTTTAAAGACTCTTCCAGAGTGCTCTGGCCAGTATCAAAACTGGATTCTTCCACTCAAAATTCAGAGTAACTTCACCGATTAAAATTAAATTGCAGCTGCATTTGGCCAGAGGGGTTTTCATTTCAAACTACATAACTTTTCTTAGTTGGGCATTTTAGAATTATAAGGCTCATCCCACAATGATCTTGGCCTTCTAAAGGGTGGATATAATTTGGGTCCCTCTCAGTAACAGCTGTTTGAAGATGAGTTCGATGTTCTTGTCAGGAGCTCGGTTACTTTGTTGGTTAGTGCATTTAGAAAGCTACTGTCAGTCTGATTCAATTCCACAGCGTTTCTTGATTTTTTTCTCAGTGCTGCTCCAACTATTTTATTCCTGCATATTGTGTAGTATCTCAGCATAGACAGCAACCTCCATAATAGCTATTTTTGTCCTGCCTTTTTCTAACCTCAGTCATACTCCAGTGTGAATACTGATTGCAAAGACATTGTTTGGCTTGGTTACAACCTCCCTATTTGATTGCTTCCTCTGCTTACTGGGTTCATCAGAGACCTACTGTTTCTCTAGACATCTCTCTCCTGATATACTTCAGGCATTTTCTATTATTTCTTCTGGCAATTTATTGTCCTGGGTTTTTTCTTTTTTATATATTTTTCATTTTTCCTGTCAAAGTCCATTCCACGTATTAAAGACAGATGAACCGGATTTACAGAGCCTGAAATACTGGTTTGGCCCTAAAACTTACCCTTTGTCACACCACTGGAAATTACTGCTCCTTTTCTGTATGTTTACTTTAAAGATCCCATTGAACTCAGGCAGACGTGTGTGGCGCTTTTCTAGCAGGAGAATATTTATTTAATCCCTGTATAGAGAAGCAGAGAGCGAAATCCTAAATCCATTCAAATCAGTGGGGCTTTTCCTGGGCTCCGGCTGAATCATGGCTTAATGATCAGCTTCATGGTTTGTAGTCAGCCTCCCAGAAAAAGGAGAAAGAAAGCACAAAGCAGGATTTTCACTCCCATATTCTGGGATTCCAGGCTGAGCTGAGGGACAGTGTGTTGCAGCAAGAGGTAAGGGATTTGAAGGACCAAGTTTTCTTCTGATTCTTTCACCAGTCTCCTAAAAGATACTTTAAAATGTATGTTTTAGCGTTTGCCTGCTGTAAAGTAAGAGAGTGTCTTGGCAGCACAGTACAGTTTGAATGCATAGTTTTGCAGGTGTATTGCAGTTGTATTCGAGGTTCTGGACATGCGTATCTATCTGGGACACTCTGAGCTCATAAAGCAACAAATAAGCTAAAAATACATGTTTATTCAGGTGCTTAAATGTATTGCCTGGATTGGGCCTTAATTTATTCCCTGTAAATTGTGGTGATTTGTCCCACTGAAAGTCATCTGGTTTGATGACAAGCCTGGCTTAATGTCCCCATGGAAGTTTGCTGAAATAAGGTGGGTTAAAGAGGTTTCCCCCTATTTCCTGTCCCTCTCTGAAGAGCAGCTTAAACAGTGAAAACTGTCAGGAATGCTTATTCAAAAGAAGCAACATTGGAAGCTGAAGATAAGAGCATTTATCTCTGTGTCAAAACTACTCAGTGTCTTTGACGGACTCCCGACACGCCATAACAAGGAGCTTAGTCTGGAGATGCCAGGAGTCCAGGGGGTGGTGTTTATCCTGCTGAAACATGGAATACATCAAATCAATTACACGGTGCTAAAGTATTTCCCCCATCACCAGCCAGTGTTGTGAGCTCCAAGAAAATATGTTCTCCTAGGCACTAGGGGAGCCTCCTCCTTGAGATGCTGATTTAATTTGAAATGCGTATTAATGGGGAGAGAGAGAAAAAGAGGGAGAGAAGATGGAACCTTGTATGTTCTGTAGCGGATTGCCACATTGATCTTGTCACTTGGCAAACACAGTTGGACCTGAGGCTCTGAGTCTGTGGGATGCGCTGTATTTCTGTCATCAATTGTCAGCCTCAGAGAGGCACAGGAGAAAGAGAGGCCTGGTATCAGAGTAGAAAATCTGTAATAAAGGGACCAGCAAGCCATTTAGGAGCAAATCAAAGCAATTGCATTTTTGTACTGTGCTTGCCTTCAACAGCTGTCCTCATCTCCTCTCAAAGTGAAGTGATGATGGGAAGGACTAGTATTTCTATGGAGGCTGCTGCCATCCGTGCTGCTTGGTGGGAGTTAAGCTGTTCTGCATGGGAAGAGGTACCTGCAGGTCCCAGAGGAGCCTTCAGCCTGCCCTGTGCCCACCCTTGTCCCTCTCGTGCTGTAGTCACAGCCCTCTCTTGAGCCACCTCTGGGACAGCTCCTCGATGTGGATTTCTCCTCTGAGCTTGCATCTGTAAACTACAGCCCATTGCTGATGGCCAGTTTGGGAGCTGACAGGATCACACTTAGGTTCTGCAGGGACCTAGTCCTATATCAGAAACTGTCCTGAAATAGCTCTGTCCATCAGGAATGTGGCTTAAAACCTGGTTTTGTTGAAAGAACTGCCTGGAGACATCACACTGCTGGTGGGGGCCACAGCCAGACAGCTGGAGCAGCATCCACCAGAAGGTTCAGTCCAGCAAATACACTGGCAAATCCATCTGAATGAACAGCAGGCCTTGGGCATCCCTCTGCCTGGATGTTTGTACCATGCTCCCTGGGATGATGTCAGTGCCTTGGGATGTGTTTCTCCCGAGCAGAGCAAAAACACTAGAGAGCGCCATGTATTTGCAGATTTTGGCTTGTGAAGTGCAGTCTGAGGATGTGAGTGCTCCCTGAGGGGGGGATGTAGGGACAGCCGTGCTCAAGACCCAGCCTGGGTTCAATGCTGTGTGCTGCTTGGGAAGACTTGGGTTTGGAGAGGCAATTTCCCTCTGGATATGGGCAGCTGCAGGTGCAATGTAGCTTTTTACTTTGGGGGAGAAAAGGCAGTTTGGCTGTCGGGAGGAAATCCCCTTGGTCTCATTGCTAGTTGAGGAGATGCATTCGAACCGTCAGACCTTCCCACCCTTCTGTTCCAACCCTCTGTCACATCACCTTGAACAGAGCAACCGAGAGAGGGGCCTGTCCGGCGACCTCCCATCTGAAGGAAATTCTCAGCACAGAACAAGATTAAATGTCTCAGAAGGTGCCAATGAGGAGTTTCGTAGAAGGACTGACTTTGTTTTTGAGTTCACACTTTCTAGTCCTCTTGAGGAAAACTTTTTCATTTTCAAGTCCTTCAGTACATAAACAATGTTGAACATTTTAATGCATTTGAATGGCTGAGTCATTTCTTTGAAAGCAGGCTGGATCAGATTATTTTGCTGTCTCTTATTCCCAGTGATGCAAAAGGCGTAGACTCCACGTGGGCTTTATGTGGGCTCTACTCTCTTCTTTCCTGTGGGAGGGTGAGAAGCTCATGACTGAGCTGGAGAATAACTGTCTTGGCTGTTACAATAAGCACTGTCCTGTATCTTCTCCCGTTATCCAAGGCCTCCTGAAGCTCCCCTGTACCTTAACTTGGTGAGGAAGCAGTCTACCTGGCATCATGCTCCTCTTAATCACTGATCCTGTGATGGTGATGATTAAACTTTCATTATAATGAGCTGGCTTTTTTTTTTTTTCCTTCCCAGCAAAATAATTCCTACAGAAAAAAGAGGCTTCACGAAAACCTGACTTATCTTTCAGAAGATGCCCATCTCCATGTATTCAAAAGTATTTTTTCAAACAAAAACATAAGAGTTATTTTTTAAGGAATGTAATATGTAGATATTTCAGAATTTTAAGTTGGCTATTTTTCTCCTCCTTTTCTTGTGCTTCTTAGTCTAAGGGGCTCAACCAAGTCTAGCTGTTATTTTTCCTATCTCATATTTTTTATTGTTTTGTGGATGTTTTTCTGTCTTGACATTTCTGAAAACATTTCACATTGGGAAAGCTCAAAAATAGTAAAAAAAAAAAAAAAAGGTAGAAAAGGAAAAAAGGTGGTAGTGAAAAGGTGATTTGGAAGAAATATTATTGCAGTTGCCAGCAGGAGGAAAAAGGAGAGGGAATGCATTTCCCCACTCATCAAGATTCTTAATGATGTAAAGGTTTAGAAATTTAATTGAGGAAAAAAATGAGTTTTGGCATGTCTGAATGGATACAATTTATCCTGTCCTGTTTTGACCTTCCTCAGTTCTCCCTGGCATTACTGCTGGTCCTCTCTGCCCTTTAGCCTGTGTCGGGAGCATCTGGAAACAGCAGATAAGACAGAGCCATGGGGCAGAGCTGGACCTTGGGAGCAGTGCTGGAGGGCAGGAGGCATCTGTGTGCTTTGGAGGAACTCTGTGGACATGAAAAGCTGCTGTGTCCTGAGCAGAGCTTCTGTCCAGGGAGAAGCCATCCAAGGGGGAACTCGCCACCCCTGTGCTTCGGGAACT